TTGGACGCACTCCAGCCAAAAGTGTCTGGCTTGACCGCCTTCTTCGATGAAAAGCCAAAGTCGAAGTTGTCTTTCTTGTCTTCAGCTTTAGCTTCGGCAGCGTCTTCCTTGTGAGCTCCGTCGAGAATCCAGGGATTTTCTCCGTCCATTGCCTCGCCATTGGTGTCGCCGGCTTTGCCGCCAGGTTTGGTGCCTGCCCAACCCAATGAATCGCCGCCGCCAGTATTATTACTGCCCCAACCTGAGCCGCCTCCAGCCGCCCCAAAGTTGAGGTTTAGGGATGGTGTTGTCTCGCCTAACTTGATATCCTGGAATGCGTTAAAGGTGCTCGGGGTGCTGCCGGTTAGCAGGTCCTCTTGTTTCGAATTGCTGGCTGAGCCCAGACCGCCCCGGGAGTCTTTGCCGCCGTCGCCTGCGCCTCCTCCACTGCCAGTCTTGCCTGAGCCGCCATTGGTATCGTTGCCGGTGCCTCCGGCATTGTTGTTGCCGCCGCCGCCGCCACTGCCGTCGCTCTTTTTTGTCTGCTCCGGTGTTTTCCCAGCAGGCTTCGCGGCCTGTTTAGGCTTCTTCGCGTGCTGGACAATGCCCTGGTCAGATCCGAAGTCGAGTCCCCAGTCCATTGTTGGATCAGAGAACAATGCGCCCGAGGACTGGGATGTTGATTCGCGACTGCTCAATGGTTGGGGTGGCTGATGATTATCGGAGGGGTCGCGTGGGCGCACGACGTCACTAGTGGTGGAATCGAGAGGCGCTTCGCGCACCGGAGGTTCGAAATCGCATGACTTGGGTATCCGTCGTGACCGGCGAGGCGTTGGATCTGGTACAACGAGCGGACGTGATGCAGCCCGGTGGCAGGTGTTTTGTGATGAATGGCCGAATAGGATTGTGGTGGTGGTCTGTCCAAAAGGGGAGGGCAGGGTTAGCTCGAGGCCCGCTAGAGGGGTTGTGGTGACCAAAGTGACGGGAGGCTGGCAGTTGGAATGCTGCTGGGGCAGCCCCGATGGCCCGCCCCGACTTGCATCTCACGACCTCTGGAGCTCTGCGCGGCAGACCTCCTGCCAAACGCCAAACACTCTATAATTACAAGAACGCCGACTTACAAGGCCCTTGTTGCATCTCAGCCGGATCCATGTGGAGGCAATTAGATTTAGGCGTGTCTCCAGGTCATGTTCCTCCCAGCGAGTCGTCGTAGTGGCGGCTGCGCCCGCCAGATACTGCACCGATGGCGAGCCAAAACCGTTCCCTAGCCCAGAAGGGCCAAAACCCAAAACATCGGCCGCAGCCATGACGGGAGGCCAGGCTCGAGACGGCGCTGTCGAGATGTTGCTGCCGGGCAGACTCGTGCGAACAGGTCGCGAATCTGCCGGCGCAGATGTCTCAGTTGCGCAGTCGCTCTGTCGAGGAGAATCGAGGCATCGGGGCCCGATGCGACAGAAAGTTGACCCGGCAAATCGTGATTGTCGCCGGTTGTCTTGCGTGATACTGGGGCCGTGACCGACTTTTCGGACTCTGTATCGGACTAGAGGTGGACAATACTGTCGTGCTGCCTTATGCAGCTCTCGAAAAGGCACGCAAGAGAGGAGGAAAGAGAGCGAGGCGCAAGATGTGCAACTCCAATCAGAGCGGCGTGAGAAGGAGGAAAAGGGTATCAGGTGCTGCGGCGCGGGTGAGTCGAGGCTGCATGCAAGCCCATGCGGCCTGTGCTGTGGTGTGCTGCAGCAGCCTGGGCCGATTCGTCGTGTGATGGATGGAGTGGCAAACCGGACTTGAGGTGCGGTGCTGCTGCGTCTGCCGATTGGGAGAGCGAGGTGTGTGTGCGTGTGTTTCGCAGCAGACACGTCTCTACCGTGGCGAATAGCAAGAACAACAACACAGGCGTCTGCCTCCCTTGGGATGCAGGACGGAACTAATGCACGGCGGGAGGGATACAGCACGATGCCCTCAACCGGGACACTCACTTGCAGCGACCCTGCCGGCTCGTGGCAGGCGGGCGGCCAGCGTGTGGAGGGAGGGGATGCACTTGTTGCATGCATGCATGCATGGATCCACCATGGGTGAGCCAAGGCAGGCAGGCAGGCGAGCAGGCAAGCCGGGGGCTGGTCCAACCAAGTTTTCACTTGATAGGTGCGCCGAGTACTCGGCACGCCCTACAATTTCACCACAGCCGCCGGTGGCACCACCCGGGGCAACGTGAAGGCCACCAGCAACGAGAGAGGGCCCCTGCGGGTGTGCGGGCGTGTGCACGACCGCGAGCAGTCTTGTCACGAAACCTGGCTTTCTGCAAAGCGCTGGCGGTCGCCTGCCCATCGCCTGCACGGGTGGCAGCAAGCACAAAGTCCAACTTGGTACTCGGGACTCGGGATGGAGCGTAGGCATCTCAAAATGCTGGTGGCTGGGGTCCATGGAGTCCATGGTACCGAGTATGGTCTACAGATTCTCCGCTCGTCACACCCGGCTGCAGGCGCGGGGGGCACCACTCCACCACCACAGCCATCGTCGGCCGTGACATCGGCAGGTCATGTGCGCTCGTCAGCGCAAGTGACAACCACTGTCTTCCCGACTGCCGCAGAGATCCCGAGGTCATGCTCAGGTGGCTCCCTTGCACAGAGAAGCAGTCAACATGTCTAGCTCTACTATGTACTGCTCTACTAGCGGTGCTGCAAGCTGCATGTCTAGGCTTAGGGTTTCGCCGCTGCCTCGAGCCAGCCCCTCCTTCCTCTTTGGCTCCAAACCTGTCAAATGCCCAGGTCGTCTTGCTCCGCGACCAGGCTTACAGAGTTGTTCTTTTGCGCGAGCTAGAAGGTTGCTTTTTTGACCCCTTCTCGCCAACTCTCCCGGCGCCACTTTTCGAAGAAAGGGAGGGTTGGTACTCGCTCTGTACTCGGTTCGTTTCCTGCGTTGGGGTCCGTTGTCACCCACCTGCAAGGTGCCCATTTCCACCTTCTTCGACCGATGCAGGGGGCCTCGAGCAACGCAACCCCACCACGGGGTACTCTACCGGTACGGAGTGCCTCTCGCTCCGTCGCCATGGAGATCAGGCTAAGCCTCGGGCAGGGTCTGCGGTAAAGGACAGGGCTGTCACCGATCCTGTTAGGCCTGAGTACGGAGTAATAGACTCGATGCTCCGGACAGCACCTCTAGGTCAACGTCCATCAATGTACACGGCGGCCCAAGGTCCGCGAGTTGGGGGCACGCGACTGCATTGATATATTGCCATGCTTGCTGACATGGACTTTGCAGATTTCCTCGAGATCCAAAGTTCAGGCGGACTAACAGTTCTGACACTACCTTGATCACCTTTCAGCTAGTGCCTACAGACACAGCCCAATCCCTTGGTTAGCAGGTTAGCCGCTGGGTTCGAGTTGAAATTCAGAAGCGAGAGAGAGTCATACGCATGCTGGCGACAGGATGATCACCCTCCCTCGTCATACCGGATACCACCGCAACAGTCATTCGCTGGTGTGGGCGGATCTCGCATGTCCGAGTCCCTACCTTGGCCAAATCAGCCGCCGCCAAATCCTTCACCGCTCCTCGCATATATGGGGCGTGTTCGGCCTCTCAACCGACTGGATTGACTTTACTTTCACAAAGCCGTACAGCAGTGTACGTTGCCCACGCCCCGCTAGCCAAACATAACTGAATTCCACGTGAGGGAAATGATGTCGCTTAGCCCCCCAGGGCTGCCTGCAAGACTACTTCGCGGCCTTATGCAAGGCCAGATGCGGCAGTCTGTTTGGTCCGGCAATCACCAGTAGGAATGACATGCAGACTCTAATTATCCGTTCCTACAGGGTGCATTGCGGGCAACACACAAGCTGAACACAGACAGGCGCGAGACACTTTGGTGCTGTAAAGTCATTACGGAGGGGTTGGACGCTCCACGCGCGCTTGTTGATCTGCCCAAGCCGAAATCTGGTGAGATGACTGTGCATTGCCACAAGTTGCTGGCAGGGTGGAGGGTGCACCGTCATCATCAACCATCTCATGAAGTGGCTCTCGTCTGTTACTCCCATCTGCGTCCACGCCGGATTCACGCCCAGAGCGGGTTATTGCGGGCAGAGCAATGTTGGTATCACGTAACTTTGCACCAAAACAGAAGCAGACTCCCCACTCCAACAAGTCAGCAAGCAACGGAGCCCCTCGACAGCGTACCACCAGCGACTCCTGGTGACCCCCAAATGCCTCGCAATTCTGCATGAAAACGCGTCTCCATCGTGCGGCTGGTCCCCGACACGCGGGGACCGGAAGCTCAACGCGATGATTGGGCCGCGGTGTGGTCTCGTGAACGTCGTGTGTACGTACACACAGCAGGTACGGTCGAACTCGGTCAACTGTCACGCCGTGATGTGTGCTGGTTGGGCATCTCTGTTTCGCATGACGCCCTGCATGATTAGGTTTCTCCGCGAGAGAACCCGCCAGAGTACCGGTCCTGCTCCTCGAATTCGGTCGGGATCTTCTCCTGTCGCATCTCCCTGCTGCCTCTTGGCGATGGCTTTGTGTACCTTTTCTCAGGGTTCGGGAGAACACGTGCGGCCAAAGTATCTCAGGTGAACAAGTTGGTGAAGACACTTGCTCGAGCTGCTTCTTTCAAGTGCCACGAGTTTAGGATACCGGCGTCAGTATACTGTACATGTTTCCCAATTATGCAGCGGCAACAAGTTCTCTCAGCCACTGAAGCCTGAATAAGCCTCGGTCTGGGAAGCCGCGAAGCACTTACACCATCCCAAGAAAATCACGCAGCACCTTCTAGACTAAGTACGCATCCACAAACGTGACAGCACAAAGACCGTAACTCCATGCGACGACCAGAACCAGTCTCAAGTACGCCCCGCTCCGTTACAGGAACCATTGAAGAACAAAATACCTCTGCGCGGAATGCCCAGAAGTAGAGATACAGCCTCTCTACGGAAATCATCATGCTTCCCTCCCTCCCCTGCCTGACTCTACCGTCTTCCCAAGATATATACGACGACATCAACTTTGCTTATCTAATCCCTACCGGCCTGGTGGCCTAATGGTAAGGCGTCAGATTTCGGTTTGAGGACACCAAGTTCACCTCGTGGGTAACCACTTGGACTTGCTCCCTGAAGAGCAATTCTCTGAAAATTGCGGGTTCGATCCCCGTCTGGGTCGTCTTCTTTTTTGTGTTTTTTTTTTTGCATCGTCTTGGTGGTTGGTTGGTGACCTTTTGAATTCTTGGGGGTTAGCGATCGCTTTCCTTTTTTTGCGTTGCGTAGCTGTCTCTCTTGCCTCTCTTGCATGAACCTGCGGTGGTTGGTCAATGTAGGAACATCTTCGTTCGGATGTGAAAGTCATGCATATATGAAGATGTGTTGTAGTATTGCCATGAGTCGTTTGCTGTGAAAATCGGCCAAGTGTATAACACAGCAGTTTGTTATTTCAAATGGTAGACAGATGCTGCGCCTGGTCCGTTGCATGTCTCCGGTACCATATTCTCAGGCTATTATTTGCTAATCCAGTAATCTACCTTTCGAAATACCTAAGCCCCCTAAATGTGCTCAAGACTTTCCCAAATGCTACGTATACCATGGGTCCCAGCCCGACATCACGACTCGACGACAACCTTTTCCCCTACTCGTATCGTCGCCAGCGGCTGTGCAGCGGAGGTCCCATCTGCCTCCGCACGCCGCGGCGTCCAGCACATGTGCGTGCCAAAGAACACCTTGCCGTCAAACTTTCTCGTCTTGGTCAGCGTGATGAACGGCTCCTCGCTTTTCTGCCCCGTGTCCTGGTTGATGCAGACCATGTGACATCTCCGACAGGACCCCATCATGCGAAACGTCTGAGATCCGATGGCCAGGGTGGACCAGTGGTCCTCGTCGTAAGGCTGCAACGTTTTTGATGCCGTTGAGGATTCCTCTCCGTCGCCGTCTTGGTCAACGCCCTGATGGCTGCGCCCGCGACCACGGCTGCCGATTACCACGTTGGCCCTGAAGACCTCGGCTGACACCGGCAAGCCTCCCCTGCCGCTGCCCATGATCTCGCTGTTCAGGGCGTCCAGGCTCGCCAGGCTGATGGCAAGTATTGGACTCTCGTTCGAGAGCAGGATCCTGGGCTTCTCAGCCTCGGTGTCCGAGTCGGGCGGTGTCACCACGCCGCTCCCGTCTCGTACATGTGGGGGTTTGACCAGCTGATCTCCTGTCACAGCTGCTGGTCGCTGATGCTTCTGAAGGTGAGCTTTGGCGTGCCGCATGCTCTTGCCCAAGCCGCCGGCTGGAAATCGAGCGAGCGCACAAGGGGTACCGAGGATATCCGAGAAGAAGTTGCTGATCTCAACCGAGGCATACGTCTGTGCCACCACGTCTTCGCCGCACACACGAGATGACACAGTACAGTCGGCACGGATCCTCTTGTATATTGTCGGGTCCGCTGAGAGCGAGATAGTCAACTCCCGCGCATCACATGGATTGGTCGGAGCTGTGTAGGTGACGTGCATCTCCCCCCTCTCGAGGTCTAGCGATGGCTTGATGAGTGCCATCCGAGGATAGCGCTTCTGGCTCAGTGCTTGGCCAGTCCCGAGATGCACTAAACACCACTCCCGATCCCAGGCCAAACCTTCTGCTCTGACTTCCCAAGATGTATCTTTAGAGACACGGAAGCCACCGCAACTCTTGATTGGGTATACGACCAGCTGGTCGATATACATGTCAGCCATGGCCTTGCTAGTACTCGGGGTCGATCCCGTTGATGCTGCGGATGTGGTGACGTAGAACTCCTGCACAAAGTCTGCGAACCGATCAACGTCAGATATAGTGCTCATGGCGCCAAGGCTGATCCGTACAACGCCGGTTGGCTTTCCATTCATAATGTCATTGCCATTATCGCACCGGAATCCTGCCGAGAAGTTCTGCCGCATCTCCCACGGCTCGAGCTGTAGTGCTGCAGCGACACCGCCTGGGTTGCAAAGTCCGCCAGTCCGGACGTGGAAGTGCTTGAGAATCGCCAGCTTTTCGAATTCGGCGGTGCTGACCCATGCTCCCGTTTCGTCTTGTAAGTTGAACGCGATTGTCGGACCGGCGTCGTCGATATCGCCTGGTTGGTCTGGCGAATATATCGTACATACGGCTGCGCCACTTCCAGCATGGCACAAAGAGCCAAGTCTTTCTGCTAGACGCCGCCGCAGAAAGCGTGTGTGCTCGGATACTTGCTGCATCGAGCCATATAGCCGAGGGTGTATCCGCAGTGCATGCCCAAGAGCCACTATGCTATGTATCGGCAGAGTGCCGTCCTCCAGAGCTTCATGAAGAGTCCTTCTTTTGATATTGTGCCAGGTTTCCCCGACGCTGACCACCATGTCGACAGTGCCGCCGCCAAAGTATCTGCGATAACGGAAACATGAAGACGCTTGTCGTCGGACGATGAGCCCACCAAGGCTCGGGAGCCCGAAGATCTTGTTGAAGCTGACTACAACGAAATCGGGCGCGGAGTCTGAATCTCCTAGATCCAGAGGCGAAGTGGCAACAAGAGCGGCTGCGTCCAACAGAGTGTAGACTCGAGTCCCCTCTGTCAGTGGAGGTTGTCTCGCCTTCGCTGACCATCCTAGTGGGAGCTTCCGGCCATCCATGTTGGACTGTGCAGGGTATGCAAATAGTGTTGACAGTGAGTCGTCCCCATGGTGCGGCATACTAGCGGCTAACCAGGAGTCCACATCCCGGTCTGCCAGACAACGACTGGTCTGGGCCTCCTGCCTGATGCCAACTAAGCTTGTATGGCTGTCCTGGTGATAAAGGTAATGAAAGCCTCCAGGCAGGGCTCGGAATGCCTCGGTCACGAGCTTGACGCCGGCTGTGGCATTTGCCACGAAGACGAGGTCGTACTCTGCAGGGTCCGCACCAAAAAACTGAAGAGTAGCATGGCGGATGTCGTCGATGCTGGCAGTTGCTCTTTGGGACGAAGTTGAAGCCGAATGAGGGTTCCCGTACAGATTTGTGGTTATATCCGACACAAAGCTGTCTAGCAGTGATTTGGGATGCAGCGTGGTCCCGGCATGGTCAAGATAGACGTCCCCTGCAGAGATTGTCAGGCTGGACGAATGTGCTCACAGGGACGCATAGATTATCATACCCTGGAGCATGGGAAACTCGGTAGCTCGTAATTTCTCAATCCGGCTGTTGTAAGCTGACCGTTCATCGGCCATCTTGGTCACCTGTCGCTGGGCCTCGGCAGTCGAGAACTGATAGTGGCCAGAGTGGAGGATGGAGAGCTACAGTGTCATGAAGGCAGCGAGGTGAGAGTATTGCATGCCATGTCTAGAAGCTCGAAGGCACGTGCAAAGGCAGTCGCAGTGGGAGTTTACACTACGGGTGGCGATGCTAGGCTGCTCCCTCCTATTAGTCGTCAATCGTCGGTGCATCCCGCGGGTGGTGTCATCGGAAGCGGCCGGGCATTCTTGAAGTGGACACCGGGTCTCCCACCCCTGCAAGAGCCGTTCTGCATGTACCTTAGTATTCCGTACCGCGAATGCCCAGGTGGCAAGTGGAGACGTCCATGGATGAGTGCGTGTTTGAAACGTGCCGGTGGCTGCTGCTGGCTGCTCCCCTCGTGGTGCAATCTAGCCGTGGTCATGCCAGGGCAAATGGAGGGGGGTCGCGCAGAGCAACCGCGCGCGCTGGGGCCAGGGCCCACTTGACACGGTCCGCCCGTGCAACGCGCCACAAAGGACGCGCTTCTCGCGTAAAGAGCTCGGGAGCGCCAGCCTGCAAGACCGGTTGCATCCATTCCCTGCCCACTTCAACCTTCACATTCACATCTGTTTTCTGGCATCTGCATATTCTTCACCACCAGTCTTCCGCTCCCTTGCAAGCCCAACTCCTTTCTTCTATTTTATGTCTGATTGAGCAACACAATTCACAATGGCGACTGCTGTACTGGGAAAGAGGACGCGGAGCTCGCTCGCAGTCGACGACTTTGGAAACACAAAACGCACCAAGCGCATCAGTCGCGCCTCTATGATTAACGACGAGAACACATACCCCGAGGAGACCGCCGAGTCAACAGACGAGATCAGCTCCTCAGAGCTTACAGAGGATGCATCGTGCACCACCACCCGGACCAACACGCCATACACACCAGTCACGCCCAGCACCTCTCGTTTCCGGGATGTGCTCATCAAAGTGCCCGTAACCCCTCGTCACCGGATCATCTCGGCCAGCCGCAATTCGAAAAGACAGACTCCGCAGACGCCCTCGACGCCATCAGGCATCCAGACAATCTACTCACAAGCGCGCCTTCTCTTCTCTAGAAGCTCAGACCCTGGCCAGATGATAGGTCGCGATGATGAGCGTGGACAACTGCAGACCTTCCTCAAGCGGTGCACAGAGCCGAACCCCAGCGGCTGCATCTATGTCAGCGGCCCCCCAGGCACGGGCAAGAGCGCCATGATCAACGAAATGACCAACGCGGTCACTGCCGAAACATCTACAAAGAAGGTCTACATCAACTGTATGAGCATCAAGTCATCCAAGGACCTGTACGAGACTCTGCTGGACCAGATCACGGCTAGTGGAGGCGTGGATGTCTCGGACACCGATGCGGCAACAGCGTTACACAAGCTCATTATGCCACGTCAAAAATCAACAGATGTATTTCTGGTCGTGTTGGACGAGATCGACCACATTCTCACTCTCGATCTCGAAAGCCTATATCGCCTCTTCGAATGGTCTATGCAGAAATCTTCACGCCTCGCACTTGTCGGCATTGCGAATGCCTTGGATCTCACAGACCGCTTCCTTCCTCGACTCAAGTCGAGAAACCTTAAACCCGAGCTGCTGCCGTTCTTGCCTTACACCGCGCCGCAAATCAAGAACATAATCACGAAGCGTCTTGCAAGCCTCGTCCCCGCCGGCAACCCTCTACCGTTCATCCACCCGGCTGCAGTCGAGCTCTGCTCCCGTAAAGTCTCAAGCCAGACTGGAGATTTGCGCAAAGCATTCGAGATCTGCCGGCGTGCTATAGACCTGATTGAAAGCGAGGTAAAGCAAAAACACGAAGCTGAGGCCAGAGAGAAGATGCTTCTTGCGACACCAACACGCAAAGTCCTCGGCGAGAACCCGAACGCGTCCTCGCCGTCAAAACGAGAATCGAGCCAAAGCATTCCTGCTTTAATGACTGTG